ATCTACTGTGTGCGTGCCCGGGGGGTGAGGTGTGACGTACATATATTGTCCTTCTAACGCAGAGCCTGAAGGTTGGCTGTCATGGTTAAGGGTTCAGTCTTGGGTCAAGATATTTTGTACGAGTTTATAAGCTCTGCGTTTCAGGCTCCAAGTCTATGGCCTGAGCCTAAGAGAGTTCATAAACAGTAAGGGTTTGATAGCACATGCCTTTGCCAAAGGAAGCAACCTCCAACTGGGAGGACTAAAAAAATGACGGCGTCAAATTAACAAGCGATCAATTGCAGTCATCTGGTCATAAGAGAATACAAAGTGAAAAGTAGAAATACCACGTAAATGCAGCCCATATACCACAAAGATTTCCGAATAAAATACATGTACATGTGTACATGCAGTTCAAACGTTGCAGCAGCTATCGTGACTGCACTGAGATTAAGGATAATAGCTGCGAACTTCTGAAGAATTTTGAGTACGCGAAGTTCCGGGACCGTGAGGTTGCGACCTTGAATCATTTCACTCTTCGTTAACACTACTATTTGCATACCAGCAGGGTCTGATATAGAATTCCCAAACACATGTCAGAAATACTGGCAGAATAAACATTTCAGCAAAATGGCACACACCTAACGGTTCTTCGCCGATCTCAATTAACCTTGTACTGACTCATTTTGGGAAATGTTTCGACAACTATATATAAACTCAAATTCTGCAAACATTAATTAATATCAGAGGGGCTTTTTAAAGTAATCTTCGACTTGTGGCAGACGTGTCTTCTGGCTGCAGCTAACTGTGGATTCGAACACATCGCCAAACTGCACGATCATCAGGTACTGAAACCAAATCCTCGGCAAAAAAAATAGTTGGCCTGCCGTGCTGAATGCAACCGATGGTCAGCTCATCACACCTAACTCACATACAGCCGTGCTTCGTGATGAGTAGGTACTGTGATGTAGAGTCACGTGAAGCAAACGTTTGCACCAGATTGCCCTTTTCAAGCCGACAGTCTTTAATGCGGGGTAGCGGGGCCGGGGGGTTCAAGGTTTCACTTTAAGCTGACTTGCATGACGACAGATCGGCAATTGCCAACAATACAGGGACCAGGGACAGGCCAAGGACCGTGGATTGGGTGGGGGCAACGGGGGCATGCCCCCCCAAAAAAATGACTTGAAGAGAATTTCTTTTCGATCAATAAGAGTTAAGATATAAAGTGTCTTACTATGGAGGTTATTTTGCATGGAAAGAGCCATTTTGTTCAGGAAATTGCATCTGAGCAACTGCTTACTTGTGACTGGTGACAAAAAATTATGTCTCCATCCACCCTTGAGACGGGCATTAAATTCATTCCTGTAAAAAAATGTGAGTAGTTTTCTGCTTATCAATTCAACCACTCAGGAAAAAAAGTAAAAAAGTTAAGTCCCAAGCCTTTCTGTTGACAGTGTTGAATTATATCAGTGGGAAGACACAAGGGCGAAATCACTGAAGAAAATTGAATTCCCGACAAAATGAATATTGTTTAAGGGTGACAGGCCACTTTGCTTAGGGAAAAGCACAAATGCTGTTGAAGTGTAGGTCAATTCATCTTTATTTAGTTACAGCAACATATTATCTTGCATTTCCTTATACAATATTTTTAAACACCTCCTTTATGATAATTTTAGATCTAACCATCACATGCAAACGAGGTAAGCATTAAAAATCATAAAACTTACAGAAAAAGCAAAATCTAAAATCAGGACAGGCTTAGGCAAGAAATTCGATGGTTAATTTGGGCCCTCCATCAATGATGACCTCCATCTACTAGAACAATCTATGTCCGTTGCCACTACTGACTTTTACAAAGACACTGGGACGGTGTAAATTTAATGTCCCAAAATGGATCCGATTGAAGGTTCTTTTGATATTTTTAAACCTCAAAATCCAGCTCTGACAACTTGCAATACATTCTGTTGGTTCATGCAGAACAGTAAAAAATAAACACCGTTTGTAAAACACAATGTACTGGATACATGTATATGGCACTTTCAGCACACCGTCAGTGGGAATAAGCAACATAGGAGCAGTTTCAAGTTCATCACACATCAAAGCGCCAGTAAAAGTACACCTACATGTACAAGTCTTTCTCACGAGACAGCCCTCTGACTTGGGACCAGATGACTTGTGTTGGATTTACTTTGATTATAGCGCTGTGTAAAAGTGACAAAGTTTAGGTAAAAGAGACTGATTTCATGAAAATTTTCAACTTCATTTAAGACTGGTCTAAAAATACATTACGGAAAGTCATTTTCCCCTTCTAACATTTACAATGAGTGTTTTTTTTGTTTGCGAATGACTCAAACCAACAAGAAAGCTGTCCACGTATCCCTTGAAATATACACTTTTTAGAAGAAAAAATAAATTCCTAAAAACAAGAGAAGGAAAGAATGTCTAAATTTGAAAGTATCTGTACTTCCTAAAGGCCAGATATTACATGATTCAGGATTAAAAGTAATGTATAACAGACGTGACGCAATGCACAATAGAGGGCGCTAGTTGCCAGTATGGAAACTTCAAGACTTAAGTTTTATATCATAAATCAGCAACCAGGCTACAACTATAGTAAAACCATCCAGTTGTATCAAATCAGACTTTTTACCCGGGTTTTAACTGGAGATGGGAAATTAAATTCACCCCAGATTAATTTCCCATGCTAATTCACACGCAGATCAGTCTTGGCAGAGTTGAGTATTTGAAACAAAATTATAACCTTTGGGAAACACTGCAGACATGGAAGAAACCTTCAGGCTCCTACTGTGTTAGAGTCAAGTCCAATGTATACGAAAATGCAACATTGACTACAAACACTTAAAAAGAATTAAATCTACAGGAAGTCCTCCTTTGATCCATTTTTTCACATTAATACTGGTATCTGTAGGGAACTGCTCAAATGAATTAATCACATACACAATAGATTCAACATTGAAATATATCAAGCACATTTTTCAGTATGATTTATGAATGTGACAAACGACACTTACAAAGTTGATTTGGAGATTGAATTCCAACTTATACACAGATGAAAGATAAGCAGTATACACAGTAACTCTATGTTTATTTACATTAATCCGAGATACAGTCTTACACCCTCATTCAACATTACATTAACAAAGTCTCATCACTTCTTACAAATCAAACCTTTAGGCAGAATACAGCAAAGTTTAATGGCAGCCAAGTGCAGGCTGATGCTGTAGACAAGAACTGAATCTTAAAGATCAATCACATGGGTAGTTCACAGTTTCGCTCTTCATAAAATTTAGCTATATCTCAAACAATCTATTATGTAAAAACTAAATAAATATTGCTACTGACGTCAAAAGCATGAGTAAAAGTCCTCCTTCATATCAGACAAACTGAAAACAAAAGTCATCAGGAGCATCCACTAGAAGCCTGGTTTGATGATGTCACACTATGGCTCTGCAATTATATGACTGTTTTATTATTTCAGGGTGAACGCGCCACCCACGTGCGTGAGTGCTGTGCTTGCTTGCACTTAACTGTGAATTAAAAGCGGTCAGACAGTGAGAGTGACTTAAAATTATTTTTTATTGACAATGTTGAT